TCTTACAATTTTAGCTTAATGATAGTTGGCCTAAAGTGGTAGTCAATCATTCTTCTATCTAAGATGACCTAAACTTTTTTAACCTAATTCATTTTGCTTATTTTTCGATATATGTACTTAACCATAATGTATGTGTTTATCTGAAGATTATTTGATTTATATTACACTTAGCTCAAAAACAATTTTGTCTTTAAATATTTTCTCATAGCACTCAACCTAACTTTTACTGCCAAAATGGCAGAATAATTTAAGCGAAATCAATGACCTTTTGATTTTAATATAGATAACTGTATATACGAAAATCTTTAAGAGTTCTTCCTTCACATACAAAAATATATACATATTTGTATCATAGTAGCTCGCTCGCATGCGATGATTGATTACAGCGTAACTCTTTTTGCAACTAATTCACGCCACTATTAACTTTTACTCATCACATTATTCCTTACAGTATGATTTGTATGCCGTTTGCTAAATTTAGTTTATGAAATATGACTCTCTTTGGACAAATTTAGTTAAGCACGCACTTGTGCGTTATTTAAGCATATTTTAAGGCGTTAACATCAATCGATACGGTTTACTTTGATATAGTATATATTGCAAAATAGTAATAAATATATATATATAGTTTTGAAGCTAAAAATAAGTTCTTTATTAATAAAAATTTAAAATATACAAATTTTCCTCAATAAAATTTTTAGACAGCACAAATTTATCTCTTTGTGTTTTATTTTCTCGTGTATTTATGCAAATAAGGAACCTACAACAACTTAAATTTAAATCATAGAAAAAATATTCAAAAAATATTAGCACAAAATCATATAAATATTATGTGTATATTTGTTTACATATGCCTGATATGAAACCAATTTGTGCCAAGAAGTCAAAATACGTTTGCGAACCCTCGTCTTAACCAAATCATGATTGCTTAAACACAGCGATTTCATATTTCAGCTAGCCAAAAGCTACACACTTATCAGTAGGGACATACATCTAAAATATGTGCTTCTTACATATATAATATTTATATACATATAGGGATGTAATATAAATATACATCAGAATGTACATATCTGTCAGTTGCCTGTGAATTTATAATCGGAAATATTTGTCAACAGACTTGGAATTGTTCCTCACCGCAATAGCACGCGGGCGCTGTTTACACCAGCCAATAACATTTGGTGACAAAAGTTGGCAGTGTAAATTTCGTTGGTGACACCACAAGAATCCATTTATCATTATGTTGTCATTTTTTCATTTCGAGAGCTCAGCAAAAAATCAGATAAGTTAGTTAAAGTGTACAAGAGGGTAGTGATTTATTTGGATATGCTGAAGGCATGTGCCTATATGAGAATTACATATAAGAGATAAATACATATGGTATATGTGTATGTATGTACACATATAAACATCTTCTTGATTATCTAACCCATATAAGTTAGAGTTACATATATATAATTTCATAAATACGCACAGTGGGCGTGAGTGGCGTAAAATATGTTTGAAATTTTATTTATAATTTAAAAATTCAATAAAAACTTAAATCTACAAATAAAAATTCATAAAGACTAAACTCAAAGAAATTATTACTAGTAAATTTATTTAATAGCTCTTATCTATAACTTTTATTTCATTTCATTTTTATTTTACATGGATCAAGCGCTCATGCCCTTGAAGTATAAATACTCACGAACTACTATGAGCCTTAAAATTAATATCACTCATACGCCCCGTTGACTGTGAATTTTAATTTTCGCAAGCGGTATTTTGAAATGTACCGTTTACAGTACAACATCTAACAGACACAATATCTAACAGTAAGAGCAGTTAGCAACGCCAGCCACCTATGCATAACGGGAAATTTAGCCAACGTCAGGGAGTTTGTCTTTGCTAAGAAAAAACAGCTGATAAAACACAGAGTGTGTCAGAGGAGCAGAAAATGTATATTTCTACAGAACAATACATATATATGTAAATAATTTTTTTAAGGCAACATTTGAACGTTTCTCAGTACAAGATATTTCAGATAGCTCATTTTTATATTCGTCGGTAAAAATATATTATTTTGATGTATTGTGTATTGCGGATATTGCAGGAAATCACTTAGCATATACAAGAACCGGCTGTATCATTGCAATGCTTGAGTTACCACAGTTTTCTTTTGAAGTACTGTGCGAACAAAAAATGTATATGTTTTATTAAAAACAAAAACATATTACTTTAGCACCCTGTGCGATATATTCGAAAAACAAAAATACATCAGCACCCTGCTTGGAGAATTTGAAGTATCTAAAGATGTACGTTTAAAAACAAATCTTCATATAAATATTTATAATAGAACTTAAAAAGAAAATAGCGGATTATGCTGCAAAGTAAATTTGAGTAGTGCACAATATTAAAAAAGAAAAACAAGTAAAGAAAGACTAAGTTCGGGTGCAACCGAACATTTTATACTCTTGTAATTTACAAGAATCAAAGGTAGGGAAATACTTTAGTGTTCAAAAATCCTTATATGGGGACTAGGCCAATTTTTATCTCAAATTTATCTATTTTAGACACAAAGATGCACCGTTATGAGCAAAAACACGGTATCTCAATTTCATTGGGTGATGTATGCAGTACAAAGAAGTATTGGCCCGATTCAAACTATATTTGACATACAGACATACCATTTTACGAGAAGGATTATCCCTTAATTTCAGTTATATTTACCACACATTGACCGATACTTTTGAACAAAAGTCAACTTTAGGTACTGTGGCCCATTTGCTCGGTACCTAGGGTCTTAAAAAGTATCTATACATAACTATGTAAAAACAGACATGTCCACAAATATATTTTGAATAAATGAATACCAGTCAATATAGTAAATCACTGAAATTCTTATCTCTCAAAAAATTCAAAACTGCAAATAATTAGTATATACATACGTACTTTAAAATCTTAATGAATATATTAGGTATTGCACATTATCACCAATTAGCAATTGAGAAACTACGCATTATTTATTCTTGATTAAAACCCAGTTTTAATGTAATTCGCGTGGCAGAGGCATCGAGCACGTCTAATACAAATGAAACACCATTAATGGGGGCTTTTGCGTTTCATGGTAAAAAAAAGTGTTTTTTTTTTTTTTGCGAATTAATTAATTAATTTGTTAAGTATGGATTGAGTAATTTCATTCGGACTGTTTTTACACCATTGGATAATTTTTTTCGTCACTTATCAGTTGATAAACCTTTAACGTGTTTTTCTCAAAACTACCTTTTCAAAGTCCGTGTTCACTGTCATGTTAAAACTACTTGATCGATTCATTTCTTACTTTGAGACATATAAAATACCTCCCCCCACCGTTTACTAATATTTTTTTTTTATATTAAGAGTGTTTTCCACCCACAACCTGGAAAATGACAGTTTCACTTTAAAGGGCCGGCAAAAGCTTTTAACGAAAAAAAAACATTAAAAATGATCAGAAAATGATGGGATTTGGTTATAATTTGACTAATTTTTCTTGGTTTTTTATATTGATGCAAAATATTCTCACCGTGTAGCTTGTTTGAAAATAATAGACAACCATAAGTATACGGGCACAAGATTACCTACATATGTATCTCTCTATTCATATTTTCTAAAAAATCCAGCTAATCAAAATTAAATCAGCCTTTATGTTTCTGCTGTGCGCAAACCAAATAAAACTAAATCCCATTTGATTCTATTATACGTGAATGGGTGACGACCTTTCCCACAAACTTTAATAGAAATCAAGGAGATTTCCTATTTAAAGTAAGCGCGCAGTTTATAGACTCATTAATAGCATTACTTAAGCGAGTGACGCGAGATAATCGAAGCAACAAAGTATATACTCGAAACAATAACAAATAATAATATTATTAAATTGCTGAAATATTAGCGAAAAAACGATAATTATTTTATGTTTACTGCAAATCATCCCGAGTAAAAAAAAGTTGTATAACAAGAAACGATTTCTTACTCCTCTTAGAATTATTTTCGGCAAAATTTTATTATTTCTTATATATTGATATGAAAGAAATGGTCTTCGTTATTGGATGTGTGAAATCTACTAATTAAATAATATAATATTACAAACAATAATATGATTACTTAATTTTAAAAATTATTTTTACTTCGGCAGCTTTCACCTTCTTATCTTATTTATTTTCGTTTTGAAATAATTTATTCTCTTTTTCTTGTTAATTATGCAGATTAATAAAATTGTCTAACAGAAATTCAATGCAAATTACCTATTCGCAACTTTGTTATCTAATTATTTGACTATCATATTAATAAAAACTTTGAACTTACAATAGGGTCTTACGTTCATGGAATGAATCTTTTTGCTCACCTTTTGTTGAATGAGTACTCAAATAAATAAAATTGTCACATTTCGAATGATGATAATCCACAGGCCATTGTTGAGACGACGTTACATTATTAATATGTTACACTTTGGTGTGCTATATAGGCGGGGTGCAACATTAGTCAATATTTCTTCAAAAATGAAGCTGGTCATAATTTTACAGTCATTGAAGAACCCTGTAGAGCTATAGTTAGTGGCTTTTTCGTGTCTGAATTGGCGGATTTTGATGCGGACAACTACCTTGGACCTTTGGATTCAACAAGACGGCGCTACCCTCCATACAGTCAACGAAAAATCGATTTATTGAAGGAATTTTTTGGTGAGCGTACTACCTCGCTTAATACGCCTGCGACGATGCCTCCGTGACCGTGTGATTCAACACCGGTGAACTATTCTTTCTGTACCAGTAATCGGCTGTCTGTAGTTCATAAAAGAAGTACCATTAGAATAATTTCGATATCTGGAAACTGGAAAAACAGAATAAAAAAAAAAAAGACTCGAAAGAGAATAAATACTACAAACGATAATAATATTGGAGAGAAAATTTGTCAGAAACAAAATTATACTGAGAAAGCCCAAGATGTTCCCATAAGTAGAACAAAGTATAGCGCACAAATCAGCAATTATATCAACATAGGCTCAATCTAATAAGTCAAACAATAACACAAAATACATATATGTAAAACGACAGATGACAAAGTAGGTGAGCGAAAAAATATATTATATATTAGTGAGATCGTACATACAAGTATATACAAGTTTAGTATTCAAATTCAAACGCCATACCGAAGCTATCTACAACAGTAAGCCACTCAAGTGTTGGCAGTCGACATTAGACAAACCAGGTGTGTAGACGCAAAGCAGTCAAGAAATTTCGTAAATAAATTGTGTTACATTTAAAAACTTGTAATCTTTGAAAAGAAATGCTTTACTATAGTTTACTGTTAATATTACCATTATCCTTATGGTCCTGCGTGAGTGCTTACGTTATACCAAGAGACTTACCAGAGCGCGTGGGAGATAAGTTCATATACTTCGGCTATGGCAGCAATATGTTGACCAAACGCATACATATACAAAATCCGACCGCGGTGAAAATTGGTATGGGCATATTGAAGGATTACCGATTGGATTTTAATACCTACACGGAACGTTGGGGCGGTGCACCAGCGACTATTGTGCCTACGCCTGGCGCATACGTTTATGGCACACTGTGGGAGATATCGTTAAGCAATTTGGATGATATTGATGAGTGAGTTGACATTTTTTTTATATGGCAAACAAAATTTCGAACAAAAAATATTAAAAAAAAAAATTATTATT